TCGACACTTTGGTATTTTTTAGTACCAACCTTGCATTCCAAAATACTCCAACGGCCATTGTGCCAATAAATTCCATTTTTTATAATACCCTCTATGGGCCTCTCCCTGTAATTCCGTCACATTTCACTAATCGCACACTGTTAATATCAGTTGGTCTCGTAGTATATTTTTTGTTTCTTGCGAAACAACCAGCCATTTATTCTCTGCCACCATCACACCACCACACCTCCGCCCTTTTAACGATACTTCAGTCATTTAAATATTCACGCAGAGACAGATGCAATTTACCCTTTTTTTTGGCCATTAACGTCCGTGTAAGGACGCCTGACATTGGCGTTGCCAATGAAATGAAAACAAAAATGAAACAAACTGCAACCAGAACAGCTTTAAAAAAAACCCAAAACAACAACAAACCCTCCCACCGTACACCAACTTTTGGCTCCGAATAAAGTTAAAAAATCGACATTTAATACCCACAAAGCAATACACTTTTCAAAAACGTAGGTGGGATTAAACGGAAAACTATTGCAATTCACATGAAAAACAGTTCGTCGCCACCTTTGGACCATCAGCTCCCTTATGCTAAAGATATTTTGTGGGTAGGGGCGTGAGTGTGTGCACTCTATTATATAAACAAAACTGTTGGCGGTTACGGTCAACTTTAAAATAGTGAAAGAAAACAAATTAAACCGATACAAAAAGAAAAAAGAGAAACATAAAAGCCAAACATTTGGCAACAATTTTGTATCTCTCACATGACTGCAGTAGTTTTGGGGGCATCTCTGCCTTTGCAATCATCTAAAGTGATTACAATTTTCATGGTCTGTTATATTTTAGAGCAAAAAACGCAAAACGAAGAGATCGAAATAAATAATGTTTATTTTGTATATATTCTATGGACTTAAAACTTTTGTAAACCAACAATCATGGATTTGACTAAAATAATATTACAAATAGTTTTTCATTTAAATAATAGTGAAAGAAAATATAATTTTACATTGAACTTTTCCTTTAGTTTCCATAGCAAAATTAATTAAAAATGGTTTCCATTAGTAAAATTACTTATGAAATTAATTATTTGAAATATATCAACGGAGACTGTGACAAAGGAATACATTATCCTTATTTAAGAGGAAACAACGTTTTAATTAAACTGAAGTCCAAGCTTTATTGCCGCTCTGTTACATAATAAACGAGTATTTTCTGAGAATCGTAGACATTTTATGGAACTATGGAAGGATGAGAAAATATATAACATTAGGAATCTAGGCGTTTGTAAGGTTAAACAATTTGAAGGAAGCTTTGAAGATGGCTAGAGAGGGTATATATCATTTGATACGACCAAAACGTGTCTCAGCGAAATAACGGTTTTAGACCCTGGGTCTCTATGAACCAAATCCGTTTCAGGACATTTCGAGTCGATCTAGGGTGTCCGTCCGTCCACCTGTCTGTCTAGCTTGCGAGCACGATAACTCTCGAAGGAAGTATTCGAATTGATTCAAACTTGGTACATCGTAATAATAAATACTTGCATGGAGTTCGGAGACCTCCTCCACAAAAGGTCAATATTTTTAGAGAATAAGAAAGGATCACCCGATTTTGTGCAAAATTTGCAAAATATTTGTATCAAGTGCGAAAAAGACCATATCGGTCAACTACATCATGTATCGACCATGTTGATGTACATTTTGAATAATTATAACTGTTATAAAATACGGAATAAGCTTTCTATTCTCGTCAAATTCAACACATTTCAATATTCCTAACAACACAAGACCTGGTGTAAAGATTGAATATGTCGGACCACTTCTTCTGGTTTCTCCTACATAACGGGACAAAATTTTGTATAATTATGTCTCTCATAAGAAGCGAAATAAATTTCTGCTTCTCTTTATAATTCACACATCCCAATATTTTTACTAAAGCAAGGGCTGGTGTAAAGATGAAAAATAACGGCCTACCTCTTCTAGTACCTCTTACACAAAGGGTCGCAATGTTCAATACATACATCTCTCATTACTTGTGAAACAAGCCGGCAAATCTTTTCAAAGTTGGTATATCTAAATATTGATTTTTTTCACATTTTGCACATACCTATATTTTCCCCAGCATTAGGTGACGTGGAATACCGAACGGCTGCCAATTTGAACAGTTTTTCAAAAATTAAAATATACTGGGCAAAAAATGTCGGATATAGCATTAAATTTCAGAATAAGTTTGGATTTGTTCGAATTGGTCAACTTTGGCACAAATTTGGCCTTCAAACGGTCAATGAAACCGTCACACGCTGCCCGGATGTTGCTCTGCGGTATTTTGGCTCATTCCCGGCGTAGCGCTTGCTTGAGGTGATCTACACTTTAGTAATTTTTAGAGCCAACTTTGCTTTCCAAAATACTCCAGACACAATAGTCCAACAGATTGGTATCCGGAGATTTTGGTGGCCATTGTGCGCTGGAAATGAAGCGAGGAACCGCATTTTGTAACCATTCTTGGGTGGCGCGTGCTGAGTGCGATGGTGCTGAGTCCTGTTAGAATGTCCAATATTTTCGCAATAATATTCGGCATTTATTCTGATGCCACGGTGGATTAATACGAGCGGAGAGCGACCATCGGCTGTTATGGCGGCCCACACCATCACCATGGCCGGCGCTTGAGTTCTGGTGGCCAACCGAAGGTGCACAATTTCAGCTGACCTCTTTGGTAAGTAAACACGATCAGTTTGTTTGTTTACAAACTGCTTGACAACGAATGTTTTCCCCTCGGAGAAAACCAAATTCGGCAGCTCACCACTTTCGGCCAAGCAAAGCAACGCCTTAACTCGTTTGAATTTATTTTCTTTCTGTTGCGGTACAAGTTCTTGCTCTTTTTGGAATTTCAGTGACTTTACCCCGAGCTTATTTTTCAATATTTGCCGAATAAAATACTACGATATGTTCAGCTCACGAGTCATTTTTCGGCCACTGCGACGTGGGTATCGATAAAGTCGCTCTTTACTTTTCCAACCATTTCTGCCGATGTTGCTGATTTCTTTCGTCCACTTCCATGACGTCGGGCTATGCTACCAGTATCACGGTAACGAGCGATGGTACGAGACACAAAAGATTTATTTACATTTAAATGTTGGGGTGCTCTAACGCTTTTGTGGTTTTCCAGCCAAATATAAAAAAATCACACGGTTACGGTTGAATTCTATCACGAATATTTTTTTTCTTGTACGCTTATAAACAATATAATGATCTGTCACTGGAATAATTTCCACAGTTGGCGGACGAGTGGCTTAGAAATGACAGCAGTCTGAAGTTGGTTGCAGTTTTTTCATCTCACCCTGTATATCTCGTAAAATGTGAAGGAAGAACTCTATATATAGCCCAAATCTGGCATCTTATATTATGTATATTCAACTTAGGTCTGTTGGCGAAACCGCTTGAAATTTTTATACCCTACACCACAAGGTGGTCAGGGTATTATGTCTTTGTGCATTTGTTTGTAACAGGCAAAAGGAAACGAGATAGACCCATAGTTCCTTTTGATGATCTGCATAGAATCACATTCTGAGTCGATTTATGCATGTCCGTCCGTCCGTCTGTCCGTCCGTCCATGTATTTTTGTAAACAAAGCACAGTTCGCATTTATTGCCCTATCCAGATGAAATTTTGCACAAATCATTTGTTTGGCCCAAGGACGAACCCTATTGAAATTGGAGATAATCGGTCAAAATTTAAATATAGCTCCCATATATATCTTCGTCCGATTTGCCTTTTATTGTGCACTAAACGTGTAATATCAGTCCGAATAGTATGGAATTTTGCACGTACGATCAGATTGGACCTGAAAATAAGTATGCCAAATTTGATCGAAATCGGTTCAGATATAGCTATAGCTCCCATATATATTGTTCATCCGATTTGTTATTTTTGTCCTCCGCAGCTGTAATATGCACTAGTAACAACTATATTTGGGGAAATATATCAAATACAGCTCAGAAATATCTTTGCCAAATTTTATCGAGATCGGTTCATATTTGGATATAGCTCCCATATATAACTTCGTCCGATTTACCTTTAATTGTGCACCAAACGTCTAATGTTTGTCCAAATTGGATGAAATTTGGCACTTACGACCAAATTGAGTCTAGAAGCCAGTATGTCAAATTTGGTCAAGATCGGTTCAGATATAGATATAGCTCCCATATCATCATCCGATTTGTCATATTTGTTACCCACAGCCGTTATATGCACTCCGTAACAACGATATTCAGGGAAATATATCAAATACAGCTCAGAAATATATTTGACAAATTTTATCGAGATCCGTTCCGATTTGCATATAGCTCCCATATATATTTTTATCCGATTTCAAATTAATTGTGCACCAAATGGGCAATACAAGTCCGAATTTAAAAGATACAAATGCTTCGGCATGTTTAGTCCTTTGGACTTTAAATTATAATTATAATCATAAAAACTTTTAATTGTTATGCGCAGCTCTACTAAATTAGTAAAGTGGTGTAGGGTATCATAAAGTCGGCTCCGCCCGACTTTAAGACTTTCTTTACTGGTTTAACTTGGTTTCTTGATAATTTTACCATTAGTATTTTGATACTTTTTTTTTTTTTTTTTTTTGCAAATGCCTTCATTATTAATTTCCTGATGTCATTTTGTGGTTGAATCTATCTCACCGATTTATCCAAAACACAAATAGTCCAAAGAAATTAATATATCTCTTAAAAATTCATGTGAAATATCAATACATTTTTTTTTTGTAAATAGAACAGAATATACCTTGAGGATATATGAATGTAGCGTATGAGCTTTACATCACTTATACGTCCCCCTCTTGTACTTTGCTGCCTACATGATGGAAATGCTTTAACTTTTTTTGGATGATATATTTTAATATTTATTATAATTATAACATGTATGTATGTACCGATATGAACGTGTATGTGTTTATAGTTATATACATATGAATGAATTACAGCTACAAATGTGCATACTTACATCAACATGTATACCAGGAAAGGGGAAAACTTTCGTATTTGGAAATTCACCAGGTGTATAACGATAAAATTCCAATTGGCCACGATAAAATTTGGCTGAATAAAGTGGTGCACCCTCGAGATCATACATGCAGCGCAATATGGCATGTTGGCCACGTCTGACAGCAGGTGGTTCAATTATTAAATTGACATTACGCAAAGCACCCTCAACGAGATCTGCAAAAAAAAATATATATATATATGACAAATTTGTAGAAAAAAACATGAATTTATGTAAAGGGCTTTTATAAATATCATAAGAGGAAATATAAAATAGTTTTGTAGAAATTTCGATTTATGTTGTTGTACTAACTAAAATTTACTAATGTAATATTGGAAAGCATGCCAGATTTTATTTAAATATGATGTTGCTAAATATTTTACCACCGAATACCAAAATCGTTCACTTCGAATTGAATGCTTCGGGAATTATTATGATTATGCACAAATATCAATAATGTGCAAATCCACAAAAGCATAAAAATTATTTAATAATTTTAGGGTAAAAATATCCCCTGTAGATTTTTCTTGAAAAACAATTTGTTATGGTTATTGAAATGCCAATTTAAATGATCGGGAAGGGGATTTGATTCATACTTTATCAAAGAATGTACGATTCTTTGAATTTTCGACCGACGACTTTTATTATGACTCAAAACTGATTTATATTCAATTATCTGTTTGAATTTATTTAAAAAATACATATTTATTGTTACTGACTTCTGCCTGCATGAAACCAGCATCTAAATTATTACAATTTGATTTTATCTCATGAAAGTAATTTATACGGAAACCACAATATGAAAATTACAAATGGCAGTCAATTAGTTTGCTTATTCAGTTCGTATCTAAACATTACATACAATTCGATTTTATTTTTTCTAATTACAATAAAAACCATAATTTATAATTGCAATCAAATAAACTAAATCATTTTCATAATATATGCATGATGTTGAAAATCTTTCTTTTTTTTCAATATATTTTTCACTTCACATACTCGTACACCAACCAACCACCCTTTGCCATCATCATCAGCATCATCTTCACTCTCATCGACATCATAATCTTTCCTCTTTCCGTTGTTGTTTCATCTTTGGCGTGTTTGGAAATATGTAATCCCTAAAATAAATTGAATATCAACTTGAAAGATATTCACAGAGAGAAGATGATTGATTGATGTCTTATATCTGCCATAAGTATAATGGCAAAAAGTTTCCTCCTCTTGTGTTGATGGATTATGAAATTAGCACTTTATTTAGTTGGCAAGAATGTGTATTTCTTTCCTCTTTCGATTTTATTAAAGTTCAAAGTTTTTATGAATTAAAGACAAATAAAAATGTTGGAAGTTTTTTTTTTCAAATAATTGATTATTACATGTTTGATTGCAAACATTAGTCTATTAGTTTATTCTATGTCTATTTTCAATTACCAATCCCCATAATTTTATTTGAAAATTCAAAAGTGTAGATTTCATCTTTAAATTAAATACAAAGTAAATTGCCCCTTTCCCGTCAGGCATACACCTTCAATGTATGGGCTGGTCTAAGTTTGGGTCCACTGAGAAATCTTTGAGATTTCGCAGAGAAGGAACAAAAGGATGTTGAGAATATACCCCATTTGACATCAGAATATCAGACACTAATTTCACTTCTCCAAATATAAATATTTTTATTTTTCTCCGAAATTTGTACTTTTCCTGGGGAAGGTATCAAATTTTCGCTCTATATAGTGCTGACAGAAATATTTAAATGAGCATATTTTGAAGTGAATCGCATAGTAATACAAAACACGGTAGCAAAGTAACCATTTCCCACTGCACTCATCTTCTAACAATTTAAATAAGCTGACGTAATATCTAGCGTATCTCATATTACATGAAGGTATATCAGGGATCGTGTTGATTTGCATGTCTACGAAGCCTACTAGACTACGGACCGAAATCTGAGCTATATCTATATATAAACCAGCAAGGAAAGATTAAAAGTCGGGCCGACCGACTATATGATACACTACACCACTATGTATATTTAGTAGATCTCCCGTAACAAAAAAGTTTATATTGGGAATTTATGTGAAGTAGATCATTCCAACTCTGAGCCAAATAACATTTTTGTATAATATGATTTCGATAAGGATTATATTAAAAACAAGTAAGCAAAGGCTATAGTCGTGCGAGGCCGACCATGTGACACCCTACAAGACTACAATGTTAGAAGCTCCCTTATATCCAAATCCATTTTGGAATATTTCGCTTTTGAAATTATGTCACGGAGTACTGCCCAGATATTACCCTAAGCATTTTGAACAGAAACATTCGCCCAATATTTACTAACTCCGTCGTGCTGTTAGTTGTTGTGGTCCATTTTAAAGCTAAATTTAATCCAATGGTCAACCAAAATGCTAGAATTATTCCCTGTCCATAATTCACTTCTCAGGCGTGTCGATTGGCTTCAATTGTGTGATCAGGATTTTTTTTCTGTTTTTGGTCCATTTTAACCCCTAAACATATCGCTGACATCTTTGAAAATAATATGCCTAGCCCTTCTGAGCCTAACCCTACCCTTGTGAAAATATTCGTGAGGATCGGACGATAATTGCAGACTGTATATAAAAACCAAAACCTGTGTTGTAATGTGAAAAAATATTACAAAATATACACTTCAATATTAAGTCAAATTGAAAACATCGCATGCGATAAAAAATATGAAAAAAAAAATTACACAAAATACTACAAAATCTATAATAACACCATTATTGCCATCTTTTTATGCGATTCTTGTAGATTTTATTCTCTTATGCCAATAGAGAATTCTGAATTGACAAAATTTGTCAAAATCAGTCTAGCCATTCTTGAGATATAAGCGTTCTAGCTAACATCCCCTTCCTTTGTATATATGTATTGTATATATATCCGATATATTTACCATCGGCATCTACGTAACGGTCAGGATTGACCTGTTCTTCTATTTGTGATTTCGCCGGGATTAAAAATATTCGCGGTTTAAAGGAAAATTTAAAATTAAATTTTTAAATTTTAAAATTTAAATTGGAAGGCTTCTGCCCAGCCTGAAGCTCTAGCCCCTTGCTAACTTCCGCTTCGATTTGTCCATAATTCCGCCCTGTAGAGCAACTGCAAAATCAGGAAATTTTTCAGTTTTTGGTCCATTTCAACTCCTAAATATTATGCGATCATAGGGTTCAATTCTGGTTCTAGCCCGACCTCCATTCTAAATTTCGTGAAGATCTTGCCATAATTGCGACCTGTAGAGTGATTACAAATTAACATGGACAGACGGACGGACATACATAGCTAGATCAACTCAGCTCGGCAAGATAGGAAGATCCATATATACTTTCCTATGTGAGAAAACAATATTTCGATGTGTTACATAATTTTTGGCCCAATCAAACTTATAATACCCCCAACACATAGTGTTGTAGGATATAAATAGCAATATATATAACGGACCGAGTTTCACCAAATGGTAAAATTCGCTTAAATATGTAAATATTATTTAATTTGGACTGATATTACATATATGGTGAGCAATAACCGTAAAATCGAAAGAATATGTATATAGAAGCTGTATAATAATCTGAACCGATCTCGATACAATTTGACGGAGGTATTTTTGAGCACCATAAGTTATTTTTTTATCAAATATCATTCCTGTGAAGTGCACAATGCGCATATGAGGGACTTAAAATCCCAAATCGGACGAAGCATATATAATGGAGCCATAGCTATATATGAACCGATTTTCTAGAATTCTGAAATTTGGAATGACAGTTGCTGATGGAGTGCAGGATAGACATAACAACGGGTTTTTTGGAAACTCGAACTTCAAAGCTACGAAAAGATCTAAAATGGTATAAACAAAATACCGCAGAGCAACATTTGAGCGTCTTGTGACGGTTTCATTGGCCGTTTGAAGGCCATAAGGTTAACAATTCGAACAAATCTAAACTTATTCTAAAATTTGAAGTTATTTCCGACATTTTTTGCTTTCATTCAATAAAATTAAAAAAATAAAATTTTGGCGTTTGACTTTGTTGCTGTTTTTTTATCTCACCCAGTATAGCTAGATCCCATTTTAAACAAGATATATCAATTAAATGCCAAATTTAAATAACACTGACAAATCCATCCCTCTTCTTATGTTTATCATAAAATTAAAAATACCAAAAAATTGTATGACTTCAGGATCCATCGCTAGCAAACATTTGCCGTCGTTCATAAATTATATTCATTTTTCTCTTTCATGTTACAAACATTCAATTCCATTCATAAGATAAGATGCTATTCCAACTATTTCGATTATTTAATTTTTGTTCAAAATTTTATCATTTTATAGATATTTGATTTTGTCTTTGATGCTAAAATTTTCTAAACAAATAAATTCACATTTAAATAGGTTAATGTTTGTGTTCAATTTAGTTTATAGTTGGTAAATATTTTCAAATATTTGGCTTTGGCAAAAGGTCTATTTACAAGAAAATCCCTTTTTAATATTGTATGGGAAAATGTAACAGTGTATGTGTATGTGTGTGTCTGAAGGCAAAACTTTGTTTGTGACCAAAATATATGATTTAAACAAATTTATTTAAGACACGTCAGTCTATGCCTAGTGGATAAATGTTTGCAAATACTCGTCTAAATAAAAGGTTCTTAAATGTGTGAGAGAGGTATTATGTCTCAAAGGATGAAACAAAAATGGAAAAAAGTATTAATGTATTGAAAGAGTTTGAAATTTGAAAATTCAGTATAATTATAATCGAACGATGGTGAAAGTTGAAATATCAAAGACAAAGTTGTCGACCAACCATGAACATTTGGGTTGGACTATCAATTTATTTGGCCTACTTCCTATACTTCATATGAGATATGTGATAATTATTGGAAAAGCAAGTTTGAAAAGAATCGCTGATTTAAAAATTTGACCCGTTGCGGGGGAGGTACCACAATAAGTGATCCTATATTCTCCATCTTCACACCTGATCTTGCTTTAGTAGAAATATTGGGTTGTGAGAAATTGTAATTCGTATTTTATGATAGTTTTGGTTCAAAATGTTGAACCTTTGAGGGGGAGGTAAATTAATTCGTTCCATTTTTACACCAGATGTTGTGTTAATGTAAATATTGGGATGTGTGAAATTTGAAGACAATCGGACTC